AGTGAGTAGTGAGTGTACCTGCAGATCCTTCTTACTGAGTTCCATTGCTACAGACCAAAAATAAGATTTCTGTGTCTCTCCAGGGAATCAAACTATTTGGGGGAAATTAAGCAAAAAATGTAACATTGACAGGTGTGAGCAATGGACTAGAAAGTAGCAAGCATGGATATTGTTAGGAAGCTATTGGCATAGTATCATACTACAAAGTGACATGACAGTAAGTACCAGCATCAAAATCACACAGCTATTGCTTGAATGTCTCCATTAAGCCCATGCCACATTTTCTGGTTCTTGTAACATTCAGCTTCCCAGTCCCAGGTACCACATTCCTTTTTGAGAAGAGGAAACATCTTATAGGGGGAGTGTATTAATGCAACATTAGTGAAGAGGATGGACAGCATTTCCAGGGGAATTCATTCCAGGACACTTAAATATAAAACAACAAAAATAAAGCAGAAAACCAAAAGCCCACAGAAGTGTGCCAAAAGTCAAAAAGATACTTTAAACCTTCAAACTACCATGTTTGATAAAAACTTATGCATCTTTTTTTTAAGATTATTTCCCAGATATTGTTTTGCATTATATGAGTTCTGAATCACTAAGAGAATGACAAAGATCATTTTTAACCTCAAAGAGAAAATTAATCGGACAATCCTGTTTCCTAAACACTATATTTACATAGAAAAAACAAAAGTGATTAATGTTTTGCATTGAAGAAATCAATGTAATACAGACATAAACATAATCAAACTATAATATGACAAGTCAATACAGCAATTGTACAGAAGACAGAAATTCTATTCTTGTAACCGTCTGAGCAAGCTTCTCACAGTGAGATAAAATAATTTTCAAAAGAAAAATGAAGAAATTTTTCTTGTAAAGCAATTATGACACCTGATAGGCATCAAGTAAAGTTCATAATATACTTTAAAACGAACGGTTCTATTTGTAAGACATCATATTCAGTCTCTGTAAAGATTATTTTATTTGGTCAAGGAATAGAGTGGATCAAAAATGCATTATCCTTATACATCTTTTTTAAAAAAGATTATTTATGCATACAAGAGCTGGGGTGTAGGCCAGAGGTGGGGGGCGGGTGAGAGGATTCACCAGAGACAGAGTAGGGAGCAGAACAGGCAGATCTACTGAAATACACTGCTGAGGGGAGCAGAGGGTGAGACAAGAGAGGTCTGCTGCACCATGTGAGTTAGCTCCCAGGCTGGGGATCAAACTTGTGCTGCAGATAGCTTCATAGTGCTGAGACTTACCCCCTGTTCCACCGGGAAAGCCCAAGACTTATGCATCTTTTATAATGGATTATGTGCATGATTTGTAGGCATTTTGATAAAGAAGTGGTAATTATGAAGAGGCAGTATAAATTTAATTACAAATGTGTCTATTGAGTTAACCTCATTTGTTTCTATAAACATGGGAGAAGAGATAGATATAGCTCAACTTTAAGTAATTTTTTTAAAAGATTTATTTATTTATTTATACAGGCACTGGGTACGGTCAGAAGTGCAGGAGGGTGAGAGGATTTACCAGAGCCAGAGCAGGGAACAGAACAGGCAGACTGATGAAATACACTGCTGAAGGCAGCAGTGGGCACAACAGGAGAGGTCTGCGCACCATGTGGGACCCTTGCTGGGGGCCGGGGATCGAACTGGCGCTTCAGAGGCTGCTGCAGGCAGCTTTGCAGCCCAGCACTCAACCGCTGCGCCACCAGGGGAGGCCCTCAACTTTAAGTAATTTGATCAGCTCATAAAGTATAAGTCTAGGTCAGAAAACATGACCTTGATGGTAGTATAATCAGATGGGATTGCAGGTATTTGAAACTCATCCTTTTTTTTTTAAGATTTATTTATTTATACAAGAACTGGGGTACAGGCCAGAGGCACGGGAGGGTGAAAGAATTCACCACAGACAGAGTGGAGAGCAGAACAGGCAGATTGAAGTACACTGCTGAGGAGCAGCAGGTGAGGCAGGAGAGGTCTGCTCTCATGTGGGTATCTCCCTGGCCGGTTGGGTATCGAACCTCTTCCTAAGGATAGCAATCTGCCCATTCACCAATAGCATTCTAACCACTCCCCAATTCTGCTCAACTACCTGCAGTTCCTTCAAATGTATACATTCCCATACCTCTGGGCTTTGTGCAAATACTATTCCTTTGCCTGGATCAATGTTTTTCTCCTCCTTTCCCTCATTCTTACCCTTTGAATATTAGCTTTTGCAACTCCTTAGGAAGCCATCTCTGACTCCCTGTTTTAGCTCAAGCTGCAATAACAAATAGTCATAGACTGACTTAAAGGATAGCCATTTCTTTTAGCTCTAGAGTCTGGGAAATCTAGAATCAAGGCACCGGATGATCTATGGTCTAGTGAGGGCCATGTTCTAGTTGCAGCCTCATATGGTGAAAAGCACAGAAAGGAAACAAGCTCTGGTGCCTCTTATAATGGCATTAGTCCCATTCATGAAGACTCTACTCTCACAACCTAATCACTTTACCAAAACCTTACCTCCTAATACCAGCACATTGAAAGATAGAATTTCAACAAAAGAGTCTTACAGGGACTCAAATGTTCAGTCCATAACACCCTCCAAGGCTGAGGTTTAGGGTGCACCTTTGTGCTACCACAGGCACACTCCCTCCCTCCTGTGGTCCTGCATTTTTTTTAAAGATTGATTTATTTATGCATACAAGAACTGGGGTGTAGGATTGAGAGGATTCACCAGAGACAGAGTAGGGAACAGAACAGGCAGATTGACTGGCCATGGAGCAACCCACATGACATGGCGGATCTCTCCTGTCTTTGCCCACTGCTCCCCTCAAGAGTGTATTTCAGTCGGTCTGCCTGTTCTGTTCCTCACTCTGTCTCTGGTGAATCCTCTCACTCCCCACATCTCTGGCCTGTACCCCAGCTCTTGTATGTATAACTAAATAAATCTTAAAAAATAAATAAATTTTAATAGTAAATAATTTGAGTGACATCCAGTGCCTGAATTTCTCCCATCAAAAGGCATGGTATACGAGACTGCCATGGTTTTAGAACAGAAATGGAGAATGTAGAAGATTTAACAGGTTTATGAGGGGGGCAATTTTAAATTTGGCTTACAGAAATCCTAACCATGGAAATCATTTACCAGTGTGGGCTATACCAGTGTCCACCAGGGTGTGAAAACTCAAGCCTTTTTCCTAAATTGGATATGGCAAAGATTGATTGAGTGGCTCATTCAGTTTCTAAAGGGTTCCCGTATCAGTTGCTGGGTTACAACCAGACACAGGGCAAAGGCAGTGAAGTGTGCTTGGCAAGAATACATGACCGCCAACCTTTCAGCAGGGCCGAGCCCAATACTAAACTGGAGAGTTTTGATTCAAAGCCAAGCAGGAACGGGTTTGTGGGGAGCACAGTGGCTCACAGTCGCCCTCCTGACATAAAGGGTCCCAACAAGGCTGTTTCCCATCCAAACTAGCCAAAGGTCTGTCCGCTTCAGTGCATCCATGAAAGCCCTTGTAATGAGCCAAAGCGGGGCTCCACCACCCCATGTAGGAAACTGCCCATTCCTCTATCATCCCAGTGATGGGACCAATCAAAAATGCCACCTTTAGGGTCATTCCAGTTCAGGGTCTTGTGGTTTCTAAGAAATTTATGTAAGAGTTTCTTTGGATCAAAAGCTCGGAAATCTGTCTATGTACCACATCTTCTTGATCCAGTCATCTATTTTTGGGCATTTGGGTTGTTTCCATAGCTTAGCTATTGTGAATAGTGCTGCTATAAACATAGGGGTACAGGTGCCCTTTTGAATTAATGATTCTGTGTCCTTTGGGTAAATACCTAGGAGTGGAATTGCTGGATCATATGGAAGCTCCAGCATTAGCAGGTTGAGGAATCTCCACACAGCTCCCCATAGTGGTCGGACCAGTTTGCACGCCCACCAGCAGTGCAGGAGAGTTCCTTTTTCTCCACATCCTCACCAACATTTGTTATTGCTAGTTTTTTTTTTAATATGTGCCATTCTCACTGGTGTATGATGGTATCTCAATGTAGTTTTGATTTGCATTTCCCTGATTACAAGTGATGTTGAACATTCTTCCTTATGACTGTAGGTCATTTGCATTTCCTCTCTGGAGAAGTTCCTTTTTATTACTCAGCAATCAAACAAGGTAAACTCATGCAATTTGCAGCAACATGGATGGAGCTGGAAGGGATCATGCTCAGCGAAATAGGCTGGAAAGAAAAAGAAAAATACCGGATGGTCTCACTCATAGCAGGAACTTACAAAACCTAAATAAGGGATCAGGAAAAAGACTAATTATAATACAGTAAAAATCAAAATCAACAAACAACTATAAGGGGGGGAGGAGAAGAGGGATTAGGGTCAAATTAAGGAGGGTGGGAACTGCGTGGGGAATATAACCAAGATGAAAATGCATACATTGTGCAAAGAGGAAGGGTGATGTAAAAAATATATAAAATTTAAAAAAATTAAAAAAAAAAAAAAAGCTCGGAAATCGGGCGGAAACGCTCTTAAGAATTTGGAGAAAATTCACCGAGAAGGCCAGAGGGGTAAATTGGCTTCGGACAGCAGCCGCAGCTCGTCCCTCCAGCGCAGGGGCTGGTTCTGGGTCAGCAGCTCCAGAGCCGAAACCCGCAGCGCGTCCGCTGCCCCTGCCCGCAGCCCCACCCTGGAAGCGTCGCCGGAAGTGCGTGTGGGCATCAGGGTGGGGTCCCGGCGGCGCCGCCGAATCGGAAGTAAGGTCCGGATTAGGCGGCGGCCGGTGGGCAGGGCCTCCCGATCGCGTCGCCCGCCAGAGAAGCGGGAGTCCAGGAAACTGCGGGAAGGAAGCGCGAGGAGGGGATCTGCGGTGAGCGCGACCGAAGGCGGAAAACCGATCGCCGCGCGCGGCGGAGGAATCTGACTTCGTGGCTGCGCACAGCGACTTCCGGGAGTTTCCTCCGCGGGGCGGGCCCCTGGCGCTTAAAGGAGCGCGTCGGCTGGCAGTGACGCGCGCGCGCGAGACCACCGGCGGGGCCCCCCCCACGTCCCACGGTTCCCGGTGGTCCCCCTCTTCACTGAGTGTGTTCACATGTTTTGCTCAAGTTCTCACAGCTACGAGGGGGCAATTCAAATGAATCCGTATGTGCCTCCACATTAGACTATCCGCTGGGGCTTCCAACCCGAGCAGACGAGGTACAGCTGTTTTTCATGAAGTTCCTCTTGGGTATTAGGCATCGCACACAACCCCACGGACTCTTTCCGCCCCCGTGCCCCCAGCGAACAGGAGACGGTTCCCAGAATAATCAAGCTTACTCGGCTACCAAGTTGATCGGAAAGGGAGATAATGCTTCCTAGGTGCCAGAACTTTTGAAGATGAACTTACACTCCGGTGGTGGCAAGGTTCATAGGGAAAGACCATGTCTAGAGTGATGCCATTTATATTATATTAATGGGGGTGCGCACAACATATGATCAGTTACAATTTACATACCCTGGCTGCGAGCTCTGCAGCTAGTTTGCCATACAGGTCTGCTCTAATCTTACCACTCAACTAGTCTCATTTTTTTCAACTGTGCCATATACCAGCTATTGGCTTCAGCCGTGTGTGTGTGCAACCAGAATTTTGTTATGTACACATACTACTTGCAGGTTGCCTTACTGAGTGGAATTCTACCAAGAGGACTCCAGGTATTTTCCAGTATCCAGACTTGAGGCACTGCAGAGATGGACACCATGTATCCTCTGGTGCCAGAGCCATCTAAGATAAAAATGAGGTTAGAAGATTTCGGTAGGGAGTACTGATGTGTAGGGGATAGTCCATATTCATGGACTAGGAAACTCAATAACACACTTTGATGAGTAGTCACTTTTCTGCAAGGAACATAATTTTTTTTTAACTTTTAGAGATATGAACTAGTACTTTCTGCTAGAAGTTTCCATTCGTCAATTTACATGGGTATGGTAGGTTTTGATTTTGGCTTTTTATTGATTTACTTGGATTTTATGGTTGGAGACTTTTGTAGTAATAAGTACATTAATGCAATATTGTATTTATATAAATATATTTCCTAATGAAATGACAAGTCATAAATTGTGTTAGACATTTTGAAAAGCAAAATAATTAAGCTATTTGATATCAGTAATTAAAGATATATGAACCTTGAGAAAGTAAAAAGGGCGCCAAAAAATTGGCCTTTGGGTGGTAAAAATTTCTATTTTATATGGATTTATTATGGAAAATAATTACTTTATATATCTCTGGATTTTTTGAAAAGATTTATTTATTTATGAATACAAGAGTTGGGGTGCAGGCCAGAGATGAGGTGGGGGGAGGTCAGAGGATCCGTCAGAGACAGAGCAGGGAACAGAGCAGGCAGACTGGCTGAAATACACTGCTGAGGAGAGCAGCAGGCAAGACAGGAGAGGTCTGCCTCTCCATATGGGTTTCTCTCTGGTCGCCAGAGATTGAACTCATGCTGCAGAGGCTGTGGATTCCTTCGTAGGGTGGTGCTTAACCCCTTGAGCCACCAGGGAGGCCCTATCTCTGGATTCTTGAATGGCTTAATTTTATTATAATTTAAAAAATTAAAATGAAAGAAAAAAATTAAAGAAATATAAAAGAAATACTTTTGATTTGTGACATATTAGTAATCTAAAGGAATTCTGGAAACAACAAAGATGAATAGTTTAACTCAGAATAAACAGTAGTGTTATTTTATATCTCGAAATTATTCTTCGTTGTTGAGGAAGACAATACATGGTTGTATTCAATTTAGCTAAAAAAGGAAAACCATTTATGGAGTCAGTATACTTTATACTTTATAGGATTACTCTTCAGCTACAGATAGTATCATGACGTCACTTAGAGTTTCAGAGTCTGGAAACGGCTTAGCGTTTTAAAAGAACATGTCTACAGGAGTCTAATCAGTTGGGGACACAAACACAGAATCAGCAGCACACTTGGTTTTATTTCTTAAAGTTTGTTGTTTTTTTTTTTTAGCCTTAAGTTTTTTTTTTTTTTTTTTCTTTTTATATGGATCTACCCTGTTATGGTTGAGACTCACTGTGTTTCACTCATTTACTTAGTCAAAAAAATTTCAGGGATGTCTGTAATTAAGTGTTATGTGTGATGAAAAATAGTATTAGCTGATAACTGTACATTTTTCTAAAATGGTTGTAACGATTTAGATTTTCACCAACACTTGGCATTTTTAGACCTCTTAAGTTTACCAGTGTAGTAGGAATAAAATTTATCTAATTGGTTATTTTAAATGACATTTCCTTGATTACTAATTTGAGCATGTAAATGTTTAATTTTGTTGCTAAATTAAAGCATATTTAGTAGCTGAATTCTCATCTGAGGTCCATTCACCTTCCCTGTGTAGGAATTTCAACAATTTAACCTCTCCATACTTTAGTCTCTCTTTAAAATGAAGGTAATGATGACATTCATTAAGTTTAAAGAAGATAATGTACTTAAATCTTTTAACATAATGCTTGGTACACTGTAATGATTCAAAAATGTTAAATAGCTTTTGTTATCTTGTTTTAAAGTCCTCAGGAGAAATTTACTGTCTTGAGGAATTTAACATTTGGGTAATCCTTCTGGAAGCTAAAGGATGTTATTTCAAGGCTCTCTGTTGTGCATGATTTTTTAAAATTGAAGATGAAATTTTCATAAAATAACAGTAACCATTTGAAAATGAAAAATTCAGTACTATTTAGTGCAGTAGCAATGTTGTGCATTTTTATCACCCCCAAAGGAAAGTCTGTACACATGAGGCAGTTCCTCCATCCCACCAGATGCCCTGGTGACACCAGTTTGAGTTTTGTCTGTAGAAATCTTCTTATTCTGGTTATTTTCTATAAATAGAATCATACAGTATATGACCTTTTTAAAAATTCTGGCTTCTTTCTCTTAGCATATGTTTTGTAGTTTCTCACATTGTACCACGTATCACTACTTACTCCTTTTTATGAGTGATACATGTTTTCTTGTAAGTATATACAGTTTGTTTATTCAGTTGTTATGGTGATAGACATTTAGGTTGTTTCCACCTTTTGGCCACTATAAATAGTGCTGCTTTGAACTTGTATGTACTTGTGTGACTACTTATTTCGAGTTCTTTGGGCATCTACTACAAGTTAAATTTCTGAGTTTATGACACATGTATGTTCAACTTTTTGAGTAAAGTACAAGTGTTCCATTTACCCCACCTATCATCAACACTTATTATTTAACAAAAAGGTGTAGCTATCTAGTGGGTGTTGAGTGGTACATCATTGTACTTTTTTTTTTTTTAAGATTTATTTATTTATGCATACAGGAACTGAGATACAGGCCAGAGGTATGGGGGGGTGGCGAGAGGATTCACCAGAGACAGTGAAGAGCAGAACAGGCAGACTGACTGAAATACATTGCTGAGGGGAGCAGCGGGTGAGACAGGAGGGATCTGCTGCACCATGTGGGTAGCCCTCTGGCCGAGCCGGGGATAGAACTCATTCTGCAGAGGCTGTGGACAGTGCTGTGTTTAACTAACCATTGCACCACCAGGGAGGCCCCACATCATTGTACTTTAGATGAGCATTTCCCTAACCATTAATGATGTTGAGCATCTTTTCATGTTATATACTTGCTAGCAATTTATACATCTTTGGAGATCTGTCTTTAAATTTTTTGCCCATTTTTAAATTGGTTTTTCCTTTAATGGTTGAGTTGTGAGAGTTGTTTATACATTCTTGATATTGGACCCTTGTCAGTTTTGCTAATCATATATTTTCCCCCATTCTGTAAATTGCCCTTTCACTTTCATGGCACTATTATTTGATGGATAAACTTTTTTTTAAGTGAGTCCAGTTTATCTATTTTGTTGTTGTTGTTTGTGCTTTTGGTATCATATCAAAGAATCCATAGCCAATCTAGTCTCACAAAACTTAGCTTTATGTTTTTTTTTTTTGAAAAGGTTTATGGTTTTAGCCTTTGTACAAAGGTTGTTTATACATTTCAAATTAATTTTTGTTTCTGGTATTAGGTAAGGGGTCCAACTTACATTCACATATGGATATCCAGTTGTCTCACCATCATTTGTTGGAGAAACAATTCTTTTTTTTTACTATTATTATTTTTTTAATATTAGAAATCAATTCTTGTTTATAAATTTTAAAAAAATACAAAAAGATCACATAGAAACAAGTTGGGATAACAGAGTTGCTCTCTTTTCAATCCATAATATCTTATGACTATTACTGCCTTCATATTTCTGGATTATAATTACAGATATAATTATTTATATACCTTTTTCTTAAACTATGAATATCTTGATCTACTCCATCATATTATTTCTTTTTTTAATTTAAATTTTATTTTTATATTCCCCATACAATTACAACCCCCTTATTTTGACCCCAATCCCTCCCCTCCCTGCACCCCCACCACCCATAGAGTATCTCTGGTTCATAGTTGTTTGTTGATTTTGATATTTTCTTTCTTATAGTTATTCTTTTTCCTGGTCCCTTATTTAAGTTTTCTAGATTCCTGCTATGAGTGAGACCATCTGGTATTTTTATTTTTCTTTCTGGCTTATTTTGCTGAGCATGATCCCTTCCAGCTCCATCCATGTTGCTGCAAATTGCATGTGTTTATCTTTTTTGAATGCTGAGTAATATTCCATGGTGTATATGTACCACATCTTCTTGATCCAGTCATCTATTTTTGGGCATTTGGGTTGTTTCCAAAGCTTAGCTATTGTAAATAGTGCTGCTAGAAATATAGGGGTGCAGGTGCTCTTTGGAATTGATGTTTCTGTGTAGATACGATTCTTTATTAGTGGTCTTGGCATGCTTGTAGGAAACCAATTGGCTGTAGATATATAGGTTTATTTCTGTAGTCTCAATTCAATAGAATTGATCTATATGTCTATCTCTATGGCCAAATTGATTAACCACTGTAGGCTTTTTTTAATTTTAATTTTAATTTTTTTTCCAGTGGCTTCTTTAGAGTTTTCTACATAAAGGGTCATATCATCTGAGAATACAGTTCTACTTCTTTTCAATTTGTATGCCTTTTAATTGCATATTTTTTGTTCTAATTTTCTTACCTGCAGTGCTAAAGAAATATACAGGTGAGCATCCTTGTCTTGTTCTAGTTTTGGAATGAAAACTTTAGCCTTTCACTACTAATTATGGTGATAGCT